TTCGAATAAATGAATATTTGAATATTTCGACCAATGTTCTCGAGAGCTCGCGCTGAACTCTTCGATTAATTTATTATGTATACATTATAAAGAAAGAATAAATATTGTTTATGATTTGATACTTTTTGTGTTTCGTTATTTATTTATATTCTCTTACATTTCGAAATATCAGTTGCTATAAAAAAAGAATCACGATCCCAAGTGATATCGAAGATAGAAGTGGGTCTACACTGACCCAGAGACAATTTTTATTTAAATCAATAATTTTATATTTTCTGAGAGAAAATTTATGAATATTTATCTAAAAGGAATAGTCGACTGTGTTGAACGGAATAAAATTTGATGAAATAATTCGCTTCTGTTGCGAAAGGGTTAAAGGAATGATAAAGAAAAAGAAAAAAAGGAGAGTTGATCGAGACGCCTCGAGATGCATTGACGCATGTTTTTTTTGTAAACTGCTTTTGACCAGCGGATGAATATTTTTACGCTGAGTAACCGATCGTTCTGTTTGTGAGTGGCCTTCGCGAAAACCGAACTGCCATTCGCGAAGGTTGAAACAGGCAAAGATGAGAATAATGCTCAGATTGATCCTTCGCCGTACTATGTCGAGGCTGACTTGTTCGTAATTTGGTTTGACTCGAGATTTTACCTTTTACGAATATCGAGTGACACTGTGTAACTGTAACTCTGTTCCTATTGAAGATACAAAGAATAATTGTACAGCAAAATTTCGCGTTATTTAACAAACTCTATCGTCGTGAAGTGTAATCGTTTTAGAAGTAGGTATATTGGTACAGTTGCAAACTGCAAGTGCTCTTGTTTTCTGAATGAAACCCTACGATTTTTTTACACGAATCGATTCCTCGTGGCATTCTGAATGAAAAATGTATCAATGTGAAATCACGAGAAATTCTATACTTTTCGTAATATTTCACTTTTTCATTCAACATCTACAGCAAACGTTCCATCGTTACGTTCATTTGCCCAGCACTCACGTTTAAACGGCCCAGTTACTTGACTCACCCTGTATACTTCTAGAAATGTTATGTACGCTTTCGTCATTGATCGAGATTGATTTCGACTTGCTGCTGTAGGCGATGGCTATTTCAGTCGAAACTTCAACTTCACTTTATCATGTCCAGTTACGTGACATAAGTTACGATGTCCACCTCGGGGCGAGCATGAGTCATCTGGTGTTGTATGTTAACACGTCGAGGTTCACCGAAGCACTCTTCTTCTTCTTTTTCGTGAACCGTGTTATGAAATGAAATTTGCACTTGCATGTATCGTGATGGATTTAGTACTGAAAATTTGCTGCTCTTTTTATAATGAAATTTCGAAGTACGTGTTGTTTGTTATTCTTACCGGAATTAGCTACAACGCGCTATGCATGTATTAGGGGTACAGTGTTTGAGAATAGTTTATTTTCAGGGATGAATTTAGTTTCTTTATTTTTCCTCTGGAATAAAAATCATTCAGAGAATTGGCGAAACTTGTGTGATTTTATTCAATTCGTTCGTCAAGTTAATCAAGTTCAATTGAAAATATCAGTCCTATTAGTTTGGTCAATTTTGCATGACCATTGAAATCTCATTGATAAATCTGAGGATGAGGGGAAATTAATTAAATTCGATAAGATGAGATAAACTGACTGGAAAAATTGGATGGAAATTATTACGACGGGTTTCTCCGAAACATCACGCTAATTTATGGTTAAAAATTTCACGAATGAACGTATTTCAATATTTCTGGGCTTAAGTAGGTGTTTAAAAATTGACAAATAGATCACGATTCGAATCTCAACCCTTTAATCGAAAGGACTCTTTCTCCTCTGACATTAGATTAACTAATGCAAGGTACGAAAGTAAAACGGAGCTCGCGAGATCATTTGCAAGGAACAGAAGGTATAGTTTTGTGCCTTATGAGAGATTCCCTCGACACGTGGCACTGGAATTCGCCTACGAAGGGACTTAGCTGAGTTTAAAGAGGTCGTCGGTCTGAAACGTCGTGACGCCAAGGTTGTAAAGGTCTCATTTGGTCGCTTATCGGGTCGCTTAGGTCAAATCTTCAGTTCCTCTGCAATTGACCCCCATAAAAGTCTAGATATTGTTTCAGAAATTTTCCCTTCCCCCGTTTCTTCAAAGGGCAATGCCATCGACATCCCGCTTTTATTGCAGCATGCACTACCTAAAACCTTCGGGTCACTTGACGTTTCCTTTCCTGTTTAACAAGGGTGTAATTAAGGTTCATGAACTTGTCTGTCGATACGCGGTCTTCTCTTCCGTTTCCAACTAAAGTGACCCTTTTTCGAAAATAGCCTTCTCGTCTATCCTCACTTAACCATTTTTACTGCTTCGTGACTCGAGAAATAAGAAGAAGGGGGGAATGAAATGTGGGCAGGTGAAAGGTTGTGCAAACATCTTGCTTTAAATACTATAAAAAGGTGCATTTAATAATACCAGGCAAAGTATAGTATATCGACGAGACAGAGAAGTCCTTTGCTCTGTTCACTGTAATTAGCTAATGTCTAATTAGACTTCATATTCCATAACGTAGTTAATTAAGTTAGTCGAATATAGACATTACACTGCCGCTACTATTATCACTATCAGTAACGCGATTTAATTAACCAAATTAAACCGAAACGGAAGACCGAAGAAGACAAACAGTCGCGTAATTCGAGTAGTCACGGAACGTCAGAGATTCCCACAACTGTTCCAGTGTGTTACATAAACTTTGATCCTAGCTCTAGGAATAATATACTGCGAACGTAACGATAGCAATAGGTGACCGGCCCAGCCAGCCAGCAGCCGGCTCGCTATAATTCTCTCTTTATCGTCGCGTGTTCGTTCGTGTAGATTACGGTTGATTATAATTTTTCGTCTTATCAGCCGGTACAAATTGTCAGGTTGGGGGCTCCACGTTCGCGTTCGACTGGTCATCGAAATTATCTGCGCGGGGATTAATCGTTCTATTCAGCGCGCAGAACGCGTGATCCGCCTGCAAAGGAATTCTCTTATCGTTCGGTGCCACCCGCGGGTTAAGCTTCCCCCTCTATTCCAGCGCGTTTTCTGCTTCGTTTTCACGGGACCAAGAGGAGAGAATCCTTCGAAAAACGAAGAAAACGGAAATCTATATAAAAAGAAACAGAATTACGGTCGCGCGCGCCTCCCAAATAGATAAATCAGCAAATTAACCACGATTCGCGTTAATTGTCGACGAACGAGAGATTCCAGACGGAGTTAATTAAACTCGAGCCGTCATCAGATAACCGTATAGCCTCTTCGAACAATTTCAGGGGCGGAATTTAGCCAGTCGAACGATTAAACTTCGCTCGCTATAAATCAGTGTCGCGCCGGAGAGAGACGATCGTAAGAGGAAGTTAAATTGCCGGGAGAGAAGAACTTTAGGATATCAACTTCCCGCATTTCCATTCTCTCCCTTTCCCTTCTTTAACCTTATTTCTTAATTTCGAAACCGCAACTGTGTCGTTGTTCTCTTCGTTTCTTTTTCCCCGTACATTCGTCGATTAACAGTCGGGGCAACGTGTTTTTCCCGTATCACGGGCGATTACTCGCGAGCCATTATCGACGAGGAATGTCTCTCTGCACTCTGCAAACTTCCTGTGCGGATGTCTGGCACGGCCTCGCCCATTCTAGGATTCGAACGGAGCTCTCTCTCTCTCTCTCTCTCTCTCTCTCTCTCTCTCTCTCTCCATCGAGCTCGCCTTTAAAGCAAGAGTGTGCCTTGCTATACCCGTCGATGTATCCTTAACACGATAACCTTTTGCTCCGACAGCGCGATGATAACTAAAAGTGGAGCGTTATACCGGACTGCATCGTTGAGCGCCAACGAGCTGGTTAAACGCGGCGGTCTGCTCGAGAACATTTTATCGAGCGGCAACTTGGCCCCGATTTTTCCTTCGCCTGGTGACGAGTAAGGAATTTTTTTCCCTCCTTGGTACACCCGGGTGGAGAATTTCTGTCGACGAAACATTGTTGATGATCGATCCGAACTGGATCGACAAAGATGACGAGAGAGAGGAGAGATGGCTTTTCTCTTTCTGTGTGTGTGTGTGTGTGTGAGCATTGTGTCGCCGTCGCTTGGAATTCAGCGTGCAGCCGTGTCTATAAATAATGGCGGTTCATCTGCATTTAGATTGATACCGATCGTTCTGCCCTGGCAACGTTAAATTGTTCAGCTGTTCGAGCGACTTCTTTTTTCTTTTTTCGTTCTTCCTTTTCAAACCAGAGACTGATCCGCGAACTCGAGTGTGGCCGATTGGAAAATCTCGCGCGGAGTTCCATTCCAACGTGCTGAAAGATAAAAGTGTATTAATAACATAACTGATAAATGTAAATGACAATGTAGAGATAAGTGCTGTTTTAGAATAACGTGTAGAAGGAAGTTTCTAATACAACAAGAAAAACTGAGCAATAAATTCTCACTGAACGTCGTAAAATTGGGAAAAAAAAACTGCTTAAAAATGAAAGAGGATGTGTTATTTCCGCAATTAGCACTGATCGCACAGTAGTTCATGCAAATTGCAGCAATTAAGGATGCATATTCATCACGCTAGCCAAAGCACACACAAAAAAAAAACAGAAACGATACAGAAGTCATCTTCGATTCATCAAGAATACTCCTCTCGGCATCTCCTTCACGCTCGATCTCAAGTTAATCGCCAACGACTTAATGGTACTTAATCGTTTCAAAAAAATCCACATCATCGTATGTCGAACCCAAAATTGCCTCTTATCGTAGCAACGAAGTACCTAGAAAGAGAACAACACCTTTAATTTCCTCTCTGGCAAGGTCCGCGAGAGAGAGGAAAAAAAAAAAGAAAAGAAATTTCCTTCCGAAAATCCCAAATCGGACCAAATTCACATCGATCCTCTCGATCCTTCTTCCGGAATCCTCGCGGGAGAGCTGAAACTGTTTCGCCACGTGGAGCAGCGCGGAACAACTGCGATGATAGCCTGTGTGTCTTCTGTTCACAGGATGGTATTGGACCCCAAGGTCACGAGTCTGCATAGTGATTACGGAAGCTTCGATCGACCATTGGGCGCCGGCGAGGGCCACGAGAGGGACGTCGAGGCGGCTGTTGATGGAAGTAGCAACGGGATGGCACAGTCGAGTGACGTTTATCAACGGCAACCGTTATTACCTGGCGCACCGGCCAAAGGCAAGGATAAGTGGTCCGGAGTGGCATCTGGCTCAGATTATTACGTAGACGATGAAGACGAGAAGATCGACGGTCTTGGACGACATCCTGGTATACCGAATGGATCTGGGAACGGTGTCGTCAAATTGGACATACCCGCACCTCTGCGCGAGGAGCCACGTTTCCCTAAGGAGAAATGGAAAACGTTTATTGGTAAGAAGGAATCTCTTCTTCTCTTTTCGAACGTTTCGTTGGATCACATGTGAGGCGTGTATGTGTGTCTCTTCAGGTGTAACGATCCTTTCTTTTCTTTTTCTTTTTTTACGAAGAATGTTTAAAGATGTGTGCATATATGGCTTCACTCTGTACAGGTGTTATCTCAGGTGTTTCGCAGATTTGTATTCGAGGTTTTTATTGGTCACTAATAGAGAGTTGAGACGTGCAAAGATGTAGCTAAGGTTCTACTGTGGCGTGTTAAATATTCGATACCACGGTATCTCTCATTCGTGACGAAATTTTGATTAGATATCTTGTCGAGCTGATAAGGATCTTCAGATAAAGATACAACAAAGAGAAACACACCAGAGGGTTACGTAAAGGAATGGAGGAAAAGCTTCACTCGTAATTTCGTCGACAATGAACTCTCTTTAGGTCGTGACTTCTCTCTCTCTTTTTCCCTCTCTCCTGTGGTGTATGCACGCTCCATTCACACGACGGGGTGTCCATCGAGATCGAGGTCGCTACGTGGCCTGGTATTCCGGTGCAGATCTGCTCCGGAGGCTGATCTAATATAACCAAGCTCGATCGTACGTGTTCTTGAACGATGAATCCGAAACGATCGAGAGTCATTAGAATGGACTGCTGTTGGGTACCGTTAGAGAGGAGGCTAGTTCGTCGTATGAACTAGATCGTTGCATGAGAAAATTTTCTGACCATTTTTTAGCTCACCTCGCGAGCACTCAACGATCATGTCGATGTGTACTGTTTGGAAGGACTATCGCTAAGATTACCTTTTCGCTCATTATCGATAATTGCTGAAGTAATAACTTATCGTTGTTTTTTTCGTCGAATGAGAAACAAAACACGAGATAACGACGACTTGTCTACGTCGCTGCGACTGTCGATGCAAGATTAACGTCTTTCGTCTGTAATTGCTATTTTTGTTTTGTTTTATAACAGTTAGAATGTTTGTTTATATTTTGTACTAAAGTAAAATAATCTTTTAAAGCATTAATTTTCATTTATTATTGCTTGTAACACTGTTTAGTGCTAGTTTATCGAAGAATCGCAAGTGTTACGCAAAAGAGCGATAAAAATCTTATACCACATCGCTTAATTAAGCGTTAAAGTTTGTTTTCAAGGCGCAAAAAGATTCGTCGTTTCATTACATTCGATTACGTTTGAAAAAGAAATGCTCCTGTTTCTCAGTTTGCGTAACGTTCGCCGTAGCGTGTCCGAATGCGTCACCCAGTATGCTAATGAATGACGCAGATCCATTTCTTGGTGTCGTGAGCTTCGCGGAGGCTTGCTTGAGGACTAAATGGTAGGCTGTTCCGTGAATGTTTGCGGACGTAGGAATGGCTTTGACGGTGGACGTTGAAAAGCTTTTCCCTTGTTGGTCGAAAGCCAGAGAACCAGCTGAATTTTGGCACCGAGCCATTTCCTGCGAATCTGTGTTATCGTGGTACCAGGTTTCGCGTTGTAGCTTTTGATTAATATACAGGGTGTTCCAGGACAAGTGTGATGCTCGAAACGACGTTTGAAATTAATGCTCCTTCCGAACAATGTTAATAGCTTCGTGCGACTACTTTTTCTTCCTGAAATATTGT